GGGGGGGGGAGCTTGTCTTAAACCTCAGTCCCCAAAGTGAAAGGGATTAATTTTGGAATCTTAAACCCTCCTTCGCCTATATTATACTATTATTATGTGTATATTGTTGGGTTGATTTCATATACTTAGAGATGCAGATTGTTCGGCGACTCTCTATAAATCTCTCCAAAAGAGGTTTTTTTTTCTCCCTCTCTTGAATTTCTATCATAAGTATCTAGTATTTGTTTTTGGTTAATCTGGCTGTAAATAGTATTTTGGGATCATCGACATTTTGAGCAAATACTAATCCTAGGAAATAACGAATGCATGCATAATCTGTTGTAGTTGTTGATGGTGCTTCAAATTCAGTTCGTGGGAAATCATTTGCTGCTTCCACTGTTCCGTCTGATTTAGCGGCAGTTAAAAGGCAACGCAAAAGGGTATCAAAGGATGAAAGGAAAGCAATGGTGGAAGCTTTTGTTAACAAGTAGTATATCCTTTTTCCTTCTTTTTTAGGTTGACTCTTTGCTTCTTTTTGTTGTGTTTACAAGGGTTTAGTGCGTCTCAGTTAGTGGCCCCGAGGTGGATCCAGGATTTTGATTTGATGGGTTCAAACTTTATGTTCTTTACAACTGAATCCATTACGCTTTTGCATTTATGGGTTCAGAATCTAATATTTGTTAAAATTACATATGGAGGCCAAGTAAAAGTGGATATTGGATAATTTTGTCTTAGTTTTTACTCATCATTAAGGGAAGTCAAGACATGCTCTTCAACTTCATCTTTTACAAATAATGTTTCCTCTGTTCTATTCAATTTGGTGATTGATGCATTTGCTTGAAAAAGGGCGAGGTTCCGTTAGGGTTCTTGAATGTGGTGGTGAGTATTGTACTTCTTGTTGGAACATTTGCCTTTCCTTCCTCAAATAAATAACTTGTGTAAGGTATCCGTGTCAAGATATGGCACCAAGATAATCAACACATGTTTTATTGCAAATCATTGTCCTCAATTGTATCTCTCCCCTTGGATGCTTCATCAGAAGTAGGGGTGGCAAACGAGCGGTATGGGTGGGTTGAAAATGAGTAATGCAAAAATGGATAAAATATCTAACCCGACCCATATTTAATACGGATAAAAATAAGAAAACAGGTTAACCGGCGGATAATATGGATATCTATATTATCCATGGCTTTTGGATATGGTCACTATTGGGAGAATTTCTAGTCTCCCAAACTTGAAGAAGCCCCAATTTGAGTCTTTACAAATGTAAAAACTAAACTCATTGGTTAACAATTTTTTAAGTGGATAATATGGTTCTTTTCCATATTTGACCCATTTTTAAAAAGTTCATTATCACACCCATTTTCTGAATTGTTATCCATTTTGCCACCACTAATCAGAAGGATTTTCCCTTGGCGCCTTTTGGGTCCTATTTCTGAATTTGGCTGCAAAAACCTGTTATATGACCTCTTTTTGTACTGTATGAATGACCTGCTGGAGTTTTAATGGTTGTATGATGCTCTTTTTCTCTTGATTGGTCTACACTAGTGAGATCCCTTCTCACTTTCATGTTCTTGGGACTAACATATCCTAAAAACTACTGCTAACTTTTCATGTGAACTTCATGCTTTAACAACAACAACAAGAAGCCCAGTAGTTGTTGTCCTTACCTTTCTTAAGGAAAAATTATATTCAAGTTGTTGCAACTAAATAGTTTGATAGGCTTTAGTGTCAAGTGTCCTTACCTTTCTGAAGGCATGACCTATTAGATATTTGTGCTGACTTGATAAGATGCTGCTTTACTTACCTACAGAAGGGCTCCTTTAATGTTTTGGATTTGCTTAACCAAAGTAGGAACCTCTATTTTCTTTTTGAAACTTGAGCTAGTAGTAACAACTATCCTTATTGTATCTTCTGCTTGCTCATGACTTTGAGTACATTCTGTATAAGTGAACCAATGAACTCATTCTCTTAATGATGGAATTGATGATAAGCAAAAAAGATAGCATTCTTAAATTGGTTATTTGGTTGATCTCTGAAAGAAAAAAATAGGGGTATGGCCCAGTGAATTGGTAATCCTAGGGGCAGATTTACAGAAGTGTAAATGAAAATTTGTGTGCTAACTGAGTTTTGATTTTTGGAGGTTTACTAAATCAACATGAATATGTTACTCTTATTTTCATGGAAGATGAAGCATATATTTTCTAGGTTTGTTGATCTCTTGGAGTGTTCTTTGATTTTATTTTCTTCTATTTACTCATAAGTAGGAGAAAATCTATAGTGGTAGTGCGGAAAGATGAAGGGCTACTGGATATATTATCTTCTGTGTCGATGTTACTGAATAATGGCCTTTTTTTGATGTGTCAATCATGACAGAGCTCCTGGATGCCCTTTAGGAGTTCTTGAAAGGTATTGTTGTCTCTGGATTACGGGATCCTTCGTATTGAAAGTCATCGAACCTGTGTCTGAACTGAGTTGGAATTTATTTGTGAGTAATCCTGGTTGTCTATAAGGATGTTACAGCTGATGTGTGGAGATTTTGTATCTTCTCTGTACTCAAGTGGAATAAAGTTGCCTGTAGTCCTGACTATCTTTTCTTTTGGAATACTTTTTATGTCAATCAGACTTTAGGCCTTTACCATTTTACATATCATCAAGTGCAAATAATGAATGCTTATAGCTAATGTAGTAATTTGTAAGCATTAATGAAGCAGGTCCTTAAGTTGGTTTGCAGGTTTTACGGTGGAGTCTGAAGTTTAAGGTCAGCTAATCATCTATTATCCATTTTGCAGATATAAAGCCATGAATAGTGGAAAGTTTCCACCTACTAAGGAGGCAATGAAAGAAGTTGGTGGCTCGTATTACACTATCAGGAAGCTTGTACAAGAACTGCTGTACAATTCTAAAATGCCAGTTGAACATAAAGTCACTGTGGTTAAAGAAGCTTCCGCGGGAGAAGCTGCAACTAGGAAGGACAAATTACTGACCAAAGTTGAAGAGACTTTAAGCAGTGCAACAGCTCTCAAACATGGAGAATGTGAAGATGGTCAGTTAACAAATGGGATTTTATTGGAAAAAGAATTCACTCAGAATAGGAAGCCCTCACCTGAACTCAAAGAAATCCTAAGTGATAGACGAACAGTTGATGTAAGCATATCTCAAGAAGCTCAACCATTAACGATAGGTGGGGATATTAATAGCAACCATGAGGCAGCGGCAAAGCCACAAACTCCAATTGCAGTGGAGACTTCAAGAACTTCTGGAAGTGTAAGTATGAATAGACCCATTGCCTGTACGATTCTGGCTTTTAATCAAATAGAAGTCATCAATGTTTTGACTGATCAGAAAAATTCATCAAGGACTGTAATTAGTCAAAGAACTCAGTGCTCTTTGAGTTCGTCCGAGATATTGAAGTTTGATCACATTTTTGTCCCTGTTGAGAGTTCTTGACTTTGAATTTATAGTAATTGTAAGTCGTTCAATGACTTTAATCATTATCCACCACCATGCTTATTTTTCAAATAGGCTTTTGAATTTTCTTCTGAGGGCTCCAGAGAATCAGGTTTCAGAGGGAAAAAGACATGCCAAGCTATCTTACTATCTACTTCCTTTCTAAGTTCATGAATCTGAATTTTTGCATTTCCCCAAGTTTCCTCTTGTATGTTGCATGTGGTAAAATAAATAAGTTTATAATGCAGGATAATAAAGATGCTGCTGCACAAGTTCTTGAACCAGAGTTAGAAACCTTTTCACATTCTGAGGAACTTGAGACTAACATAAAACAGGTCTCCACTACGGAAACTTTCAGATTTGATGGCCTGAAGCAGATGGATGAGCAAAAACATTCACCTGAATTGGAAAAGCCCACAAGGTAACGTGGTTGTAGGTTATCTGTGTTAATATTTGTTTAAGGATGCTATATCTAATCCCCCCACCCCCCCCC